TTGGAAACTGAAATTGCATGCATTAGTGAATAATAGAGTTCTTAATTATATATATATGATGACTACTTCGGTGCACTCACAAAAATGAGTGCGTTCAATGCACCCAACTCAAAAACTAGTCTTAAGGTGTCAGATTTTGAATTTTAATTGATAGGATTAGTGTAATATGATGATATAACATATCATACCAACTAATTAGCGGATTACCCTAAGCCCTAAACCTCCAATTTTGAGTTCTATCCCTAAATCCCAACTTGTAAACCCTAACCCTAACCCTAAATCTCTAAACTCTAAATCCTTCAAATTAAAGTAAATCTTCAAGAATTTTTGTGCAAATTCATGTGCGTTATTATTCATCACATCATAAGTGATGATTGACATCATTTTGACATAAATCGCATGTTTAAAATGACGGTTATAAAGTGAGTGCATTGAATGCACCAAAAAAGTGAGTGCGCCGAAGTAGCCACCATATATATATATATATATATATATATGGTGGCTACTTCGGCGCACTCACTTTTTTTGGTGCATTCAATGCACCCAATTCTAAAAGTGGTTATAATACATCAAATTTTGAACTTTAATGGATAGCATTAGTCTAGTATGATGATATAACACAAAATCACAACTAATGAGTCCATTATCTGAACCTATTAACCTTCAATTTTGAATCCCAACCCAAAATCCCAAACTGTAAACTCTAACCCTAAATTTCTAAACCCTAGATCATTCAAATTAAAATGAATCTTTGAATGATTTTTGTACAAATTCATGTGGTTCTTGTTCATCATACCACAAGTGATGATTGACATAGTTTTCACATGAATCCCATGCTTAGAATGACGATTATGAGGCGGGTGCATTGAATGCACTAAAAAAAGTGAGTGCACCAAAAACATAACCATATATATATATAATAGAGGAGTATATTATACCTATAACCCATTAAGAAATATACAACAAATTTGTTCATTCTAATTTGTTATGACATACTATGCATGATAGTATTCGAGTTCGCCTTCTTCTTTACTATTCCTTGCTTGTTTATTGAATGAAAAAGAAAATCCCTAAATGTTTCTCTATAGTTGTCGTGTAAGTTTTGAATGGTTTGGTGTCAGTAGTTATACATTAGAAGACCTCGTGGAATAAGACCCTAGGACCTCCTAGAATTTTATTACTCGATATTACATCACTCCTTCGTCGTGGACCAGCGAGTACAGTGAAACAGGGAGGGAGAGCCAAAGATGGAGATGGGAAATTAAGTTAGATATTTTTATTTTCGAGAAAATGAGGTCAAAAGTTTAAAAGATTACTTTTTTTTATTTATATAGTTTTTAAATTTCACGTCACTCATTTAACGATCAATTATGGATATTGACTATCACATCAAATAAAGTTAACGTAATTGAAACTTTTTAGTAAATTTAGTGATCAAACTTATAATTTACCCAACATTAATTGTTTTTTTGATAGTCCAACATTAATTATTTTAATTAATCTTTTTTTTTTTTGCCAAAAGATCGCTCGTATTACCGAGAAAACAGCCAGATACAAAATAGTCACATAGCTGAAAACATCCAAGAAACAAAATTGAACCCCACCAAAGAAGGGGACAACGAAAGGGCTTTTCTTGCCACCAAATGGGCAACCCTATTAGACTCCCGACCCACAAAAATAACCCGAAACTCCTAGAACAAGTCACGCATACTTCGAATCTCCTCCAACAACATCCCTCCATGGACATCATCTACCTCACCATCCCGGATCTTCCCCACGATCACTTGGGCATCACCTGCAAAAATCATCGACTGGAATCCAAACGCTAAGCACCATCGAAGCGCATCCCAGAAGGCTAGTAGTTCCACAAGAGTCGGCTCCCAAATCCCCACATACAGTCTGGACGGCATCCAAAATCTTTTCTTTGTGCGGCGGTAAAAAAAAACATGCCTTTTTGGAGAGAGATACTATTTCACCAATCGAGTCACAGGTATTTAACATATTCATACCTAATGATTTTCCACAAAGTGGTGACGAAAGGTCTAACTTGTACAAATCTTTCCATTTTCCAATTCGATCCGACCCGTTCCAAAGAAAGTACGAGAATTGGAAAACCCAAGACGCCTCATCTGGCGAGCAACTACACCAGCATTCGACATAGTTTCCGAAAGACAAATAACATATGGCAAATAACTAAACTTCAAAGACTCTAACTGCCAAATTGTCGTGACCGGTCCAATGCCGCGGCAATTCCAAAACATTAACTTCATTTATCCTCTTGGGGCCACTCCCGGCTAGCTTCCTCCACCGCATCTTCATTTCCATCTCCATCTAGCTCTTCTTCACACTTGTCCGCCTCTTGCTCTTCCTCACCAAGGAGATCATCATTGTCCAGCCCCACATCCTGCAAAGCAGAATCATCAAAACATAATTTTTTAAGTGGCAAGCGGCTGGGGCTCTGGTTCTGTCATCATCTCCTGGTTGGACCTCTTCCGGTCAAACATCATCTCTTCCAGCTCACCAATCCCCATCTTGAAACCAGGTTTAGGGCGCAGCGGATGTGATTTGCCAGCACGTCCTGGTCTAGCTTTCGAGGAAAGTAGATTGTTACAATATAATTTTTAGGGGTACACGGTAAACAATTCCAAAAGGCCAAATCTTCTATCATCGCCGGATTAAGTTATGGAATTGTTCGCATTTCAATCACTTTGCAGAAACCATCAGACCAGTTTCCTTTTCAACTTTGTAACATCCACAGAGACCGAAAATGCTCATTCTCCAGGTATACTTAAAAATAACAAGCACAGGGTGAAATATACAAACGCACTTGTCCGCGTATTAAGTAAAGAACTGCTACGGGCTTAGTTTTGTGAACTTGGCTACAAACAGTCCACTGGTTTTTGACACCACAGGATCAAAGCGCAAGGTCTTTGGTATGCTTCCACTCCTGCATGGCCAATCTCTCGCAGCATCGATCTCCAACAATTCTGTAAAAGTCAGAGCGCATATCACTCACTTGGAAATGTAACTTTGGAAGGTGCTACTGCAAGAACTATAGTGTGGATCAAGTGGCAATATTTACCAGCAGAAGCATTCTCTGCTAGAAACCTCATTATCACTTCTTCATTCTGGCAAACTGTTAAACTGGCAGACAGGAAATGCCGGATTCTAATTAAGAAGTTGTTAATGACTCGAATGCAAATGAGGACATTTATTGTTCCTTCGTAATGAGCAACGGTAATAGCCTATGAACAAACCTGCAAGTGCTGTAGACAAGGGATCCACCGACTTTCAGTAGCCTGAACCCATTTCTTAGGAGGTTTAACTGCAGTGACACAATTACAAGTCATATGTGAGTGGGGAAGAAATAAGGATCATGTCCACATATATAATGGTCTGTGTATGCAGAAGTTCAACACGGACTAGCAACACTGACCTGGAGAGTGGTCAAGTTGTCAGTTCTCTCGGCATTCAATACACGTTGGTTGAGAGTTTCCCAACCCCATTGTTCAAACTTCTGGACATGTCTAATTGAACCATCATGTGTGCATTCTGCATCGACCAGAACCTGGAAGCAAATTAGGCAAAGTCATGAATCAAAGCATCTGACCAAGAAACTAAAGACCTGGAGATCCTCCTACTTTGTCATAGCCATTGCCCGAGACTTCACTATCAGGTGGAGATTGATGCAATTCACTTTTGGTCAACCCAACAACTCCAGAATTTCTCCCATAAAAGATCAGTTCAGGAAGATGATCGCTTTCCGCAACTACTTTCAACGACGAGGATTTCCTTGTTTTAGCTGTTCTTTTCCTCTCTTTCCATGGTCTTCTAGATGTCCATTCCTTAAATACATCGTCCCCACCCCAATTCTGGTTGACCTGTTGAACTTGATAGAATGACATTCTCAAACTTTAACACTTGAAGATGAGAAAAGTAGGGTAGTAACTTCACACACTTCCCCAGATTGCTTACATGAAGTAGAATCCCAACAACCCTTCACAGGAATGAGGGAGAACTTTGTCCCATCAGAGACGAAAAGCCGGCACCGATCACCAATTCCATACTTCTGAATCATGGTTCTACAAGCTGCAAGCCTGTGGCTTGCAACATCAACACCAGTTACCGACCCAGAATCGCCAAGAAGGTCCAATATCATACAAAGTTTAGCACCTGAAAAGACATGCTCTATGACTAAAAGAAGACAGTGAACTGGACAAAAAAACTAAGGAGGCAATATAGAGTCGTACCAGGAGCCGCACAAAGATCAAGAACGTGATCTCCCACTGAGACATCCAAAGCAAGAACAGCAGCCCCAGAAGCTGCATCGACTCCATACATCTGGCATGATCCCAACATCATCAAAAGAAAAAAAAATGAGAATTCTAGGGGTGCCCGGAAATCCCTGATTCCGCTTGAAAATGTTTGAATTTGACAACTTTTACCTTTCCCTCTTTGTACGCCTGAGAGCTGGCAATCTGAATTTGTGGAGGAAGCGAATAGAAACCAGGCAACCAACCAACTCTCTCAAGCTTACACTGCATCTCAGCTTCAATCTCTTCGGTAAGCGATTCACTCCCAGGCTTCAACCTTACCCAGAAATTTGTTTTCGCACGTCATGAAAGAAAAAACGAAAGATTAAACCCTTTGAAGCAGGACTGCCGAAAAGTTACCGTATATAACGAGGAATGGAGTTGCTTGCAGTATATATCGCAGGGTTAAGCCCGTTTGCTTCGAGGAAATCGAGAAAAGGTCCCGGCAAAGGAAGCCCCGACGTTTCTGCCATCGGTCGGCGGAGCAACCACTTCTATCTAAGAACGAGAGTCGCCCGCCGTCTGTGGCAGCCAAGAGAGTCGCCAGACAGTCGATGGCGGGGGCACAGAGACATAAACAACAGGCCCATTTTGGATAGAGCTCAACTGATCCATAGAACTTGGGCTTCAGTTCTCGGCCCATTTCCCGTTCAAGTTTATCTAAGACGATTCGCATCGGAACCTTATGGTGGAAAACAGTTATACTCTCACCAGCAAAATAGCGCCGTCGTCTCGTCCTGTTTGACTCTCCCGCCGGGAAATCTCAACTGGGAAAAAAACACTAGCCGAGTTCGATCGTCGTTCCCGGAGAGCAATGAAAGGTTCCGTCGCTATATGTTTACTGTTGTTCATTTGTTTCGGCATCCCTGTGACTTCAGCTATGGTGGTGTTGAAACCCTTCTTCATGTCATTTCCCGACCTTCCTGCCAAATTCGGTAAAAAAAAACTATCCTCTTTAGCCGCTCGGGATCTCCGCTTACTGAAAATTTTGAAGTGAGATAGTCCGCAGCTTCCTGATTATTGGTTTTCACTGCAGCTGCTGGAGTGAATAGCTCTGGGATATGTGGAGCTCTATACGCAGCGAGTCCTCTGGACGCTTGTTCTCCGTTCCGGGGACAATTAGGGTTTAACGGAACTGGAAAAATCAGCTTCGCTTTGATTGTGAGGGGCGGATGTCCTTTCGAGGAGAAAATCCGGAATGCCCAACTTGCAGGGTTTCATGCCGCGATTGTGTTTGATGATAGGGATAAGAGGAATTTGGTATACAGTAAGTCAGTAGTTCTGTTCTTCATGCTTTTAGTTTTAGATGTCCAGTGGGTCTGTTTCTAGGGCAATGCAAATAGCTGTTGATTCTTTGTGGGGTATTGACAGTGATGGTGAATCCGGACCGAGTGAAGATACATGCAGTGTTTGTTTCAAAGGCAACTGGTGAGATTTTGATGGAGCAAGTGGGTGGGGAGGAAGCCGAATGCTGCATCTACCCGTCTCAGAACGATACAGCTTGGACGGTTTTGGCAATCTCATTTCTGTCTCTTGTTGTGATCATGGCTTTCCTTCTGATCGCCCTTGTAACTCCACGCCATTGGCTGCACTGGCGTCGGCTCAATTTCCACAGCAGGAGTGTGGATGCTAAGACGGTGGAGACTCTGCCATGCTTCACTTTTCATTCAGGCCATCTCAGGCAGACCCACGGTGGAGAAACTTGCGTGATTTGCCTCGAGGATTACAAGGATGGTGAAGTTCTTAAGGTTCTGCCCTGCAAACACGGTACTGGTTTTTGTTTTGCTGAGACCTCTAAACCATAAATTTTAGGAAGTTGCGTGTTTGCTCATGTTGTTACTAGTTGATGACTGATTAACACTGTCTCCAAACTTTTCGAGAATTCCAGAGTTTCATTCAAGCTGTGTCAATTCATGGCTGACCAAGTGGGGGACATTCTGTCCAGTATGCAAGCTAGATATGAGAAATGACTTCACTTATTCTGAGGTGAGACAGCAAATAACGTTTCTAGATTCCACTAGCTTCTTCCACCATCTACTAGCATAAAATAACACCAGTACTAGCAAGTGCTTGTCACTCACTGTTGAAGTGGAGGAGACTATTTGCAAATCTGGTTCTTAATTCAGATGTGCACTTTGGTATTTGGGGTTCGCCAATATCCTCTTTTCATAAAAGAAAGAATCGCCCTTTTTCCAAGAACTTGTGAATGTTTTCACTTTGAAATGGCGGTGGCCAGTTGGGTATAGAAAGCTAGTTGAATACTTTGTTATGGGTATGCACCAGCATATGATTGACTAAAGTAATGACTTGCTGTGTTCGACATTTATGTTGTTACATTTCATTACTTGTTAAACAGAATCTTGACATCAATGTTGTTTGTTTCATCGCGACAGATGAAGCGGGGAATCCGGCCACAGAACAGGTGATGAACACACGGGGGGATCTCAGCTGGACTTTGTACTTTAAGGTATACATGCAGCAAACACCTTCCCCAGAACTATCTATGTATTTCTGATTAATTCAATTCATAGGAGATAATTGTCAACTGAAGCAAACAGTAGAAAGTACTTAATTTCTACAAGTATTGTTATTGAAGTGAACCTCTCTCTCTGCCTTTTCAGGCAGAATCTTTGGGCAGTCATAACCTCTGTAGCTTGCTTAGAATGTTGTTACATGCATCACAAAAGAGGAAGAAGTCTAGGAGGTGCTGCAAAGTGGCGATATCTGTAAACTGTTGTTATGGACTCCATCTCCACAAACTGCAAATGTGTAGTATCGTCTTGTAATGTGTTTTAGCTGCTGTATAAACGCTTGTATATTCTATTTGCTTCACCTCTCTTTCTACCTGCACCATGATTGTGGCCTTCTTTTTACCCATAATATTTGACATGATCATGAGAGCAAAGGGCAATCAAATTCTCCCCTCTATTGATAACAAAGAAACTGACTCGGGGTCTAATCTTCCCTAAAGTGAAGGAAAGAATCTGAGGGGATCCGGACTCTTGTGGACTACACGTCTACACCACCATAAATGTGCATAACTCTAGTCTTGCAGTCTCTAGCCAGAAGCTTCGGAAAGCTAGAGCCTAGAAGTAGCACAATACTTGCGTGCTGATGATCAATCACAGTCGGCCTGAAAAGGTTGAAACTGCTGACAAGGAATTCAAATATAACGTAACGTAAGTGGAGATGGAGTTGCAGTTTTTGTCTCACTAAACAAACGCCTTGCTTGCCTTGACCCCATTGGATGCAGTTCCACAATCCACTCCAGATTCCACGTCTGTTCTCGTTTCTTTTCTCTATATTTAATATTATCTTTTGGTTGTCTCTTTTTGGAGACTACTTGATTATCAAACAACAGAGGCAGCAGGCAAAAGCAGGTAGCATTGCCGCCGGATTAAAAAGTAACAATCTTGAGGCTGCAGCTGGTTTTCTCAGGGCGGAAAAAGGAGCTAAGGAAGGCGGCGGCTTTGCCACCGGATTTGGAACAGAAGTCCATCCAAGACCCACTAGTTTCCCGACTAATTCAGGGTGGTATATAAGAACTCTTCAAGTGTTGGTCTCAAATGGGTTCACTGGAGGAAAGGTTCATCATCTCTTCTTCTTTCTTTTCACTCTTAACAAAATTACCCTCTTTCCATTTTTCTGCTTGTTACTTGAACAAAAAATGAGCACTGTTTCTCTGCTCCAACGGAGTTCGTATTGGTTGTTGTTGCTTTTGTTGTCCAATTGGCTCTATTACAGTTCAGGAGCAGAAGAAGTCCTCACCGTTGATGTTCATAAGGCCAAGTCTCTCATCGAATCCGGCCATCTCTACGTTGATGTCAGGTAATTCGTATTTCTCAGCTGGGGTTTTCTTTTGATGATTAATGTTTCCCATAAGTTCTTTTTTTCTGACATTACTAGTTCCATGAGCCGTGGAAACAGGACGGAGGAGGAATTCAGGGCAGCACATCCTGATGCAACGAAGATCTGGAAGCTGCGAGGCCAAGCGAAACCTGATGAAGTCGATCCCAATTCCTGCGCCGCTGATGATTGCATGGTCACCAAGATACACAACATTCCTTACATGTTCAACACTTCCCAAGGTCCTAGATTCCGCTTCTGTTTGATTCATTTGCTGCGGTGTGCATACAACAACCTGCTCCATAACAGTGTTGGTGGTCCAGGCCGAGTGAAGAATCCTGACTTCTTGGAGAGGGTCAAGAAGATCTTCAACCAAGACGACCATCTCGTCGTGGTAAACAAATTGAACATTAACTTGCTGTATTATCTGCAACAATTGAATAATAACCAAAAAGAAGAGGTGGTTTAGTTCCCTGGTGCGTTGCTGATCATTTTTGCAGGGGTGTCAGAGTGGAGTGAGATCTATGTCTGCAACTGCTGATCTTCTTAGTGCAGTAAGCAATTGTCAACAATTTGTCTGATACGATGATACACAACCGAAACTTTTATGCCTAAGTTTGTTGCAGCAGATAGAGAAACTGAAGAAGTTTTTTTTTTTTTTTTTTTTTTCTGGCAGGGTTTCAAGCACGCTTGCAACATGGGAGGGGGTTATCTTGCTTGGGACAAGAATGGGTTCCCAGTGAAGAAACATCAGCTCAAGGAAGAACTCTGAACCGTGATTTCTTTTACTTATTTTGCTGGCCGATTCAGGTCTGCCCTGAACTAGTTCCCGTTTGTATTTTCTTTCTAGGCAAGCAGATGACTTCTGCGTCTTTGCGGTTGTCCAATGTATTGGCAGTTGGCACGCAGACTTAAATCTGTAGGTCATCATGCGTATCCCGTAAAGTTTGCCATGCCTTTAGTATTTAAAAGTTAACGACTTATTAGGGGCTTTAATTTTCAAACTGCAAGTAAAACTGTAAAAATGTTGTCGGTTCCCCCTTTAAGAAATGAACGATTGTAAAATCGTATTGGAGGTTGTAAAAAAAAAATGGAAGCGATATGGCATTATATGTGTTGAAACCGTGGTGGATTCATGGAAATTTTTCTACTTGTACCTCCGATACGATATGCTTTCACAAACACCGGGTGAAACTCGATCTACAGACTTGCATTTTGTTTTCAACCCCAGCTTCATAAATGATTGCGTCATAAATGAAAGTAGGAAACCTAAAAATTGCAAATCGTCTTAGTAGCCTCATTTGAATAGAAGTATACTAGTAAAAGAGCCACTTCGTTTGTCTCTGTTGACGTAAAAATCTCACGTCTATGTACCTATGGTGAGAAGTGAGAACACCTAAGGATCAAGGTAGCAATCTTTCTCAAGGTTCATGCAATGGTTACTGCTTGTATTTGAATTCAAATCATGCTAGTTTTTGAATTCAAAGTTGTTGTCGAGATAGTGTGATGCCTATAATGCTTTGTATTTATTTCAATAGCACAAGGACTGAGTGTAGAATCGCATGGCCATAGATGTGAGTTTTCGATGTGATTCCCCAGCTAGGAGGACCAAATTCCCCGACCGGGGATCATGAGGAGGTGACTGGGGAGTACAAACAGGAGGGCCCTGGTCACGAGGGTTACAATTCTCGATAGGGGATTTGAGGACACGCAATATTGGATCGGTGCTGACGAGTTGGAATTATCTTTTGTGTTTAGGATTCTTTTAATTTTTGGGTAAATACAATTTAATAGCCAAACTTTTTATTCTAAACAAAATAATATCCAAACCTTTTCAAAAACAAATTAATAGCCAAACCGTTAACTTTCCGTCCGGTCAACTGTTAGTTGACTATGACGTGGCAAAATATTAGGTGAGATGGAAGATTTTTTTATGATGTGGCAAGATGTCAAATGTTTGACCATGCCACATAGATATTATATAAATTTTTAATTTAACTTTTACATATATCTAGATAAATAATGATAAAAAGGAAGACTTTTGAGTGTCCTTTCTCTAATCAAATCTCCTTCTCTCTGTTATCAAGCTTCTGGTTTCCTTATTCTGGGTTTTCTATTTGGTTACTGGGAATAAGGTGAACAATCAGTGGCCACCTTACTTTGATGGGATTATACTAACATAATGATACACAGGGTCTCGATTAAGTGACCTAATTTTTCATTTTTGACAAAAACAAACCTAAAGAAGAAAACATAGCAGACCTAGGGTAACCGCCTGTTCTTCCATAATCGACGGCGTCGGCTTTGGGAAGCATCTGCTTTCACCGTCTAGGTGTACTGCGTCTGTCCCGGTGTGGCCGCGCCGCCCTCTCATCCTGCTTCATGACCTCGCTCGTCTCTTTTGCAATCGTTCAAACACCCGCCATCACAGGCGCTGTGGTTTTGTCGATTCTTTAACCCCAGATCTAGCCACCATCCGACCCAACTCCAGATCTTCAATCGCAGGATAATCATCTACGCCAAGACCATCGCTGCTCTCATTCACCCTCTCTGCTCGTAGTGACGGTTGCTCTCCCCTCGTCCCCTGTTTCTGACCATAAAAACTACTCACCTTCTTCCCCTCGTCGCCGTACCCATCCCTCTCCTTCCGACCAGAATAGCTAAGAGCGCTTGACGATTCGCCTGCCTTTGTTCTAGATTAGCCATATTTATTTGACGAGGAGGAGAAGAAGGAGATGGCACCAAGAGAGGAGGGAAGTGATTGTGGTGAAAAAAGGAATATGAGGGGAAAAAATCCGTCGTCTCCTTCAGCACTCCGTCGTCTCGCTCCGTCGTCTCCTCGCCAGCGCTTCGTCTGTCTCCTCGCTAGTGCTCCGACGTTTCCTTCGCCAAAAGCCCCGACTTGGGAATGCACGGCTGGGAGCGACGCTAGCTTTTTCCGGCTTTCACATGACGAAGGACGAAGCCGGCGCCGTTGATTTTGGTTCTATGGTGGGCGATGGGTTTGGTTTCGCCGGAGGAGGAGAGGGCTTCTTCTGTGAGGGAGGAATTCGAACGGGGAGAATGGGTGGAAGAGAATGAAGAGAGAGAGAGTGATTAGATAATGTGTTGATTTTCTCCTTTTTTATTTCATTTTTCCATTAATTTTAATTAGGTGCCACAACAGAAAAAATGTGTCACGTGTACAATTTCTTTCCACGTCGGAGTCAACTGACGGCTGACCAGACGGAGAGTTGACGATTTGGCTAATAAAATGTTTTCGAAAAGGTTTGGCTATTATTTTGTTTTCGAGTGAAAGGTTTGACTATTAAATTGTTTTTACCCTTTATTTTTTGAGTTTTTGACCAGTTTTTGTTTCTTTGTCATGTTTAAATGCTTAGATCGAGTTTTTGGCAGACTTTGAATATTATTGAGTTTATTCTTATTTCATTGAGCTTTCAGTTTGTGAATTGTGCTTTGTATCAATAGAGTATTCCCCTTGATTGTGGTCAAACTTCTACTCTATATTGATAGAGCCTTCTCGCAGGTGTGAGATTTCACTTCAATTCCGTTTTATCCTTGATCATAACCCCTGTTCTTGTCTGTACAACTTTGATAACTACGTGCACCGATTCCGTGCCCGTATTAGTTTCCATTGATTTCTTCATCACCATTATTGTTCCAATGTTGGTTGCTTTTGGGATCCTTGTCTTCTTCCTTCACCTCAATTTCTAAATGATGAAGATCTTCTTCTACGTCTTGTATGAAATAACCTAAAGTTTCCCAGCAATGGCGCAATTTTTTTTGTCTGCACGTGACTTACTACTACTGTGATTAATGATCATATTGTAGTGTAAAATCAAATTCACTGAATACACAAGGGGTATTTATATCGTAATCACTCAAATTTCTAACAATCGACTAATCAAAACCAACGGTTGTACATAGATTCGGCAAAACAAGATAAAAAAATAAATAAACGAGCCAGCATAATTAAAACTAAACGCAAAGGAGATAACAAATAGGAAATAACAAGATGGGTGTGAGCGATCGTTCAAACCATGCACCCCCTAGCTAGGTTCGATGGAACGATAGGTCATTCAAATGGATCAAAATTGCATGGAGTTCCTCCTACCTTATGTCGCGGCATTTACCCGAACTAATAGGCAACAAAGATCTTACAATTCTTCATTTAGGTGACGCGCAATTTAATAGATTGATGATCGATCAGGAGGTGGTCATTTGGGATCTCACCCTTCTAGAAATTGAATTTCAAGAGTTGTACCACGAGGGATGCAACTCTTGCCTAATACACTATCATTAACAAGAACTTATGCTAAAATTGGAGTCGGAAAAAAAAAAAAGAACTTATGCTAAAATCAATTTATTCATATAACAAAATCAATTCATCTACCTAGGTTTTACATGATGATCTGAACAATCTAGAGTTTAGCTATTCATGATTACGGAAGAAATCACAAGAAAAGAAGATATAAGGATCACCATGACGAGTTCCCTCTATGATGGTCACTTCTTGCTCCTCCTTCGTGCCTAAGTTTTACCACTTCACTCCCTCCACCATTAATTTGGCCAGTTCATTTGTCACGGCTTGGGTATGGTTGTTGCAAGGTGGGTCTGCTATTGGTCTGCTATCATTGTTGGAGATGACAAGATAAATGATGGGGGTGGGGGGGGGGGGGGGGGGGGGGGGGGTTGGCGAGGCTTTGACAATTGACAACAAAACTCGATTCTATGGGTATATTATCTGATCCAATCTGTGTTGACGGGTTTGGACCGGGTTTGGGTTTTAAACTCCTTCATTATTCATCGGGTTGGGTTTGGGTTTAGATAAATCCGTTCCATAGGTACCCGCCCACACCTATATAATTAATTTCCCCGGTATATCTAATATTCTAAACAACTAATCTTATTTATGTTTGTGGAGACATGTCTAATTTTTTCTTTCTAATTGTCTAGAATGAAGTTGATATTATCGAGTGGAGAGTGAAGAAACTTAATTGACTAGGAGGAAGAAGCTTTCAATTAATCATGTTGTTTATGGATAATTTGTGATTTGCTTCAATTTTCTTGAGTTTTCTAGATTGGTGTTGAACAATTTGTATGGTTAATTTGTAATTTGTTTGAATTTTCTAGAATGGTGTTTTATATATGAATAATTTGTATTAAGAGATTGATATTTGACTTTTATTTTGATAGGAACTTGTTATTGTAAATTTTTTACGATAAAAATTCATGAGTACCCATGAACCCGCGGACACCCAGCGGGTTGAATTGGGTTTGAGTTTTTCAAACCCAACGGATTTTACCCCGAATTTTTTTCACGGATAAACTCATGCGATTGGATTTGACAAAACCCGAGCTAACCCGATCCATTGCCATCCTGCTTGGCAGGGGAGGGGGTAAGAGAGATGGGAGGTTTGAGTAGGATGAGTTGATAGGTGGGTGTAAAAGAGATAAATGCAATTCCTGAAGGGTAATTAGGGGAGCACTTTTTCTATGCTATATAGCATTGGTGTTTTAATGTACAACTCAAAGTTGTACTATAACATTAAATGTATAAGTTTAGGTTGTACCATAAAGTAATTTGTATCATTATGTTATGATACAACTTTACAACTTGAAGTTGTACCATCACATAAAGGTACAAGTTCAAGTTGTATTCTAAAAGAATTTGTACAAAAAATATAGGTACAATCTGAAGTTGTACCATAACATAAATGTACAATTTTAAGGTGTACCATAAAAGCAAAAATCTATAGTACCAATACTATATAGTATTGTAAAATTTCTCAATTAGGGGAATACTAATTTGAGTGTGATTTGGGGTGTTAGTGTTACACAAACACTTCGCTCTTCTCACAGACAAAAGAGGAAAAAACAAAAGGAGAAACTCTT